CATCCCTGGATGTGTTTAAGGAGCGGGTAAAGGACAGGACATGAAGATAACGCCTTTGCTGTCACTTCAGAATTCTGTTAGAGAAAACAGTGGCTGAGCCTGATTTGATCAGAAAAAGATGAGAAGCAGCATTGCAGAATGTCTGAGCTGGGTTACAGAAGTGTTTTTCTCCCTGGAAAGTATAAATAGATCTAATTTTCAAGAACCCAGTGATATAAATACATAGTTTTGGCTATATACCCCCTGTAATGCAATTCCTCTGTTTGCAGCTGAAAGAATTGCAGGATGAAATTCTGATTAAAAATGGAGAAATTAAAGTTTTGCGTGACTCAATGCAGCAGATGGAGAATGCCATGGAGGAACAGAAGAGATCACACGTGCTACTGGAACACCAAAAATCTCAGACCTTAAGCGAAAAAGAAAAAGAGTTCTCCAAAAAGGTTTGTACCTGTGTCCATCTCCTGCAGAAACTGATTTTAAGACTTAACGTCACACGCCGTCTAGGCAAAGGAAGAACATCAGTGTGACGTTTCCGAACTACAGATGCTTTTGTTTTCTTAGGTAGAAGAAAGCATTCGTAAGGACTGCTGAGGGTTTTCTCCTGCCCAAATTAAAGAGCACAATTAAGTGGTAGAGGTTTCTTAAGCAACATTAAAATCGTAACGTATTTTAAAATAGAAAAAAGTGGCAGAATATGCTTTATAACTCTGAGAAGATTGCTGTTCCTGTTGCAGTCCTCTTTCTGAAAGCCCCGAAGGGGACAGTGGCTGCTTTCATCCTGTTTCCTCTGCTGTTACTGGCCTTGCTGTAGTCATGCTCTATGACTCTAGTCATTCTCTAGACTTGGTTTGTCTTAACAAATCTCATGATTTTTGCCTGAACTTCTGGCACTTGGTTCTAAGATAGGATTAACTGGAGTAGCATCCATAAAAATGGAGATCTTATGCACAATGTACAGCAAGTAGATGGTAGTCTTGAAATGACCTGGACAGGCTGGGAAGGTGGGCCCATGCCAACCTCATGGAGTTCAGCAAGGCCAAGTGCAAGGTCCTGCACCTGGGTAGGGGCAATCCCAAGCACAAATCCAGGCTGGGCAGAGAATGGCTCAGAGCAGTCCCAAGGAGAAGGACTTGGGGGTGTTGGGTGATGAAAATCTCAACATGAGCCGGCAACGGGCGCTTGCAGCCCAGAAACCAACCCCATCCTGGGCTGCATCACAAGAAGTGTGGCCAGCAGGGCCTGGGGGGGATTCTGCCCCTCTGCTCTGCTCTGCTCAGACCCCACCTGGATACTGCGTCCAGTTCTGGGGCCTCCAATTTAAGAAGGTCATGGAGCTGTTGGAGCAGGTCCAGAGGAGGCCATGAAGATGATCAGGGGCTGGAGCACCTCCCTTGTGAGGACCAACTGAGAGTTGGGGCTGTTCAGCCTGGAGAAGAGAAGGCTGCAGGGAGACCTTATTGCAGCCTTCCAGTTCCTGAAGGGGTCCTACAGGAAAGCTGGGGAGGGGGCAGGTAGTGATAGAACGAGGGGGAATGGCTTTAAACTGAAAGAGGGTAGACTTAGGCTAAATATTAGGAAGAAATTCTTTACAGTGAGGGTGGTGAGCACTGGCCCAGGTTGCCCAGTGAAGCTGTGGGCGCCCCCTCCCTTGCAGTGTTCAGGGCCAGGTTGGACGGGGCTTGGAGCAGCCTGGGCTGGTGGAGGTGTCCCTGCCCATGGGGGTTGGACTGGGGGAGCTTTAAGTCCCTTCCAACCTGAACCATTCTGTGATTCTGTGAAATCTTACGATATCATTTTAGTTGCTCTGCAGTTGCACCACCACTGAATTACTCGGTAATGTAAAACTGTCTGTTTAATTCCTCTTTCAGTTACTGTCATTACAGTCGGAGCTGCAATTCAAAGATGCAGAAATGAATGAACTAAGAACAAGACTTCAGAGCTACGAAAGAACTAAACACAGCACTCAGACAGTTTTAATACCAAGGTAGGAGTTTTGGAAGATGAATTTGTGCTCCCTTTTATAATACGTGTCCTTAACCTACTAAAGATGTTTTCTTTCTTCACGTAACCCTTAGCTTCATTGTATTGAAAAAATACCAACCCAAAAAGTCTGTTGACCTCTATGGAATCTGCTGAAAAAAGAGCTTTCCTTGTATCTGTTACGAGAACTGCAAAGAGCTTAGAGTGAATTACCTTCAGATCACCGGTGTAAATCGATCCTTGTTCAATAAGATAGTTACAAAAGGAATAGCGATTCATCTACGTGTTTGATTTTTATTTCAGCCCTCAAAAGAATTTTGCAGTACAAGTGAAATCAGAAGGGTGTCCTCCACAGCCCGGGAGAAGATCTTTTCCTACCAAGGAATCCTTCAGTGCTGAAATGTCCACCAGACCCTCGTGTTCTTCAGGAACTTCCATTGCTGCGACTGCTTTGATCAAAGAAGGTAAAGCCATAGACACCTCGCCACATTTTTAGATAAAGATTTTTGCACCACGTGAACACTTTCTCAGTAAGTTCACTACAGAGGAAAACCAAATATTTGTCTGATTTTGTATTTCCTTAAATTTCTTTCCATTTTACGTCAATTTGCACTAAATAGCTATGACTAAAACTTGCATCCGGACCATTTTCAGTCACACCTTGGTAATGCCTGTCTACCAGCTGCCGAGATGTCAGTGATGAAGTGGCTGTTGGCCATAATGAGAAACTTGTATTTATTACGTGATGAACTAAAATATCCAAATTGTTACTCTGCCTCTCGCTGAATAAAGAACAACAGGAAATAATTTGCCTATTTCTTGAACTGGTCTGCTAGTCAGCTAACGGTTTTTTTGAAATATTCTCGTGATTTTGGCTTTAGAGCTGAGCTTTTTGAGGGTTTTCTTTTAAAGGGTACATATTTAGCCATATTCAAAGCAGCATCTGACACCGTGTACTCATTTCCCGTTTTATGTGTAGGGCAGTAATTTTCACAAAATCATATCCTGAAATTCATTGGGTAAAGCTTAGGAAATTAATCGATGCTTGTGTGTGAAGCACATGTTGCTATCCTATGAAGCAATTTTATTTGTTTTAATAGCAGCTGACTGCCGTGTTTCCAATAGGAAATAATAAATGGGTGAAATTTGGATATCATCAACTAATCCTTACAGGAACAGTCATCAAAAATCCGAGGTGTTCCTTTCCATTACAGCATTCAGTCTGAAACTATGGACAGTATGAACTCCCACCAAAAAAACACAGCAGCCTTAAAGCATTAGTATTGCTATTTTGTCAGCCTCTTGACTGTTTGTTATGGTAACGATATTCACTGTGCCCGTTTGCTTGAAAAACACACTTGATTATTCATTTTCCGAACCCTTCAAGGCTTTTGGCTTCAGTTTGGCTGGTAACTGTGATATACGTAGATGACTGAAAGAGTGAAATGCTCAGATTTTTTTGCTTTCGAATTTTATGTTGATTTTTAACTCATGTCCTGTAAATCTCTGCTAGGAGTGGGAATTCAATTTAACTTTTGTATTTCTAAAAGGAAAATTGAGAGCAGTAGCAGTGAACTCTGACAAAACATCTGACTGTAAAGGTGGAATTTTATTCACTTTCCTAATGTATTTTGGGGAGCAATTCTACTTGCATGACAGCTTTCAACTATTGCTTGATGTATCTGAATTATACAAGACGCGTTATTTACTGGTCTACTGTGTTCAGTTACTATTTAACAGCTCTGACTGTGTGTAAAGGATAGGTACAGATATATGAGCAATGCAGCTTTTACATTAGAATTGTAATTACTGTTTGTTTTAAAGACAGCAAGATAACCCATCCTGAAGGTTTAGCCGTGAAGCACGAAGCAACGGGAAAAAATGATTGCTACAACTTTGTATGTAAACGAAACACACAAGGTAACTTAATTTTGTTAATACAGCAATAATGAGCATTTCTGAGGAACAGCTCTGACGCCTGCACTAAGCAGTGTCGTGCTGAGGAGCCTGCTGTGTTCAGCTGGTTGCTTTTCGCTTTGTTTTCAGGGTACTGATTTACTTCCAGTTCAGAAAAACTGCATCATGTAATTTTGATGTCTAGACTGGAACACAGAGGGCCAAGTCATCAGGGTTGTTGGGACAGACAATCATTTGGTTTGAGAGATTTCACCAATACGGGATTGTAATTAAAATATCTCTACATGTAACTTGGTTAATATTTAACTAACACAGCAAATGAGTTTTTTCTGAAAATAATTCTCTTGTAGAGAAAGATTTGCAATGAAAAAATATTTTGAGGTTGAGAGCACTATAAGTAAGTTTAATATTTTGAAATACTGTTGATGGTGATGCTGCTCCAAACACAATTACGTATCCTTTCAGGTGCTATCTTACTAAATGCACTGATGAAGCAGCCCGTTGTCCCTGGGTCATTACTAGGACTCTGCCATCTTCTCAGCAGTTACACTGAGCCTCTGCCTGGAGCCGTACTGCAGCCCAGCTGTTTGGATGTGTGAGTTCTGTGGGTTTTGTTCAACTGTCTCTGACGTGCTCTCAGTACAGTGGCATTGTCTGCGCTGAGAAACGCTTGCTCACGAAGGATTGCTCACTCCTTGTGTTAAATGCTGTTTTGCTTTGGCCACTGAATACAACATTTGGACCATCATTCTGCATCTCTGATTATTAATCTTTGATTATTGTAGATCCTAAGAGAGAAACTCGGTTAATTATGTATTAGGGGAAGGCACAGAAACACGTGTTGTAAAACCAGGGAGTGACTACTACTATTGTTACTACTTAAGGATATAAAACTTGTATTACAATGAGGGAAGCTTATATATTATATATGATCATATATATATATATATATATGTGATATGAGTTAAGTGGGAAGCAAATGTGATCAAAAGAACAGTAGGCTTTCTGTCTTCAAAGTCTAAACTGTGTCAAATTTGTAACGTACAAATTATGTGCCATTTTCCACAGTATATTTGTAGTGACCTGTATAGCATTTTATAATGTATATCCAATATTTAATAGTTTTTAACTGTAAAGAATTAGACTTTAGCTCCTGCAATACCTTTGCTTTTCTGATAGGTTTTGCTAGTAGTTCTTGTGCTTTGTGGGTTCATGGCAAGACTCATGTCTCACTGCCCGTGCTGTTTATGCAAGCAGAGGGCACGCGTTTGGCCTTTGAAGCTGAAGCGTGACAGGTTGATAGCTAAAGTCTCTCATCTTTTGCCAAGAAAATAATTTTTTATTGTTGTTGTAGTCCTTTAAAGGGCCCAAACTGTGCAATCAGTAAGGTACAGATACTCGTTCTTTCTGCAAGCTACCAAATGACATCAGGGGAAGGTAAGAATATATGACAGGTTATGAAAAGCATGAAACTGGGAAGCCAATGTTTGCAATGCAGTTTCAGGCAATAGCTGCTGAAGTCACTCAGCTGTAGACTCTGACTACTTTCACAAGACCTAGGAATGCTTTGAAACTGCTCTTCCATGCAAGTAGCGAGGAGTATGATTTATTTTTTTGCCCCTCAATTTATGTTTTATTCTGGCAACAGCCATCTTTTACTACTCTGGCCTTTCTGTTCTTTGATTCAGAACATGGTTAACTCAGTTTTGAAATATTTCCCTTCTTTTAATTTTATTTGGATAGGAAGTCCACACAACTACCCAGCAGCCGGCCAACTCAAGAAGAAACTGCTCCTCGTGTATCCCTGCGAGAAGCTCAAAAACTAGCAATAACAGGCTTGAACTTGATTGCCGTGGATGAAGGATTACCTGAAGGAAACCCAACAGAAAGCCAGAGAGAGTTCTTGCACTTCACACGCTGCAAGATCCGAGGTGCCGTGCACCTCTTGCCCTTGGTAGAACACCATATTGGTGCATACTGCCAAGCAGTGCAATTGTTGGACAAGTCAGTAAATGGTTCTTGTGGAAACCATTCAGCTGTTTCTCCCAGGACCAGCACAAACACGGTGTCAAGTAAGGAGGACGTCAGGTTGTCTCTTGAAGAAACTACGGTTCTGTCGCTGGGTATTCTTTATTATTTGGCATTTTATAGCTGGGATGTTGTCCACACGTTGCTATCTACTGAAGTGGAAAAAAGCTCTGCTGCTGGAGATGACCAGGTTTCCAAGATGGACAGGAGTGTGTTGTGTGATAAACAGTGCAATAATGAAGGTACCAGGACACAAGGAGGGCTGCCTGTAGCTCCACAGGATGCTCCCAATAAGGATCGAGCTCAACATTCTTTGTTTAAAAAGCTCCTTCAGGTTTTAGCTGTTTCTGCTGCAAGAGGCTCGCAGACTGACGGTATATTGAACCAAAGCCTAAAAGTTTTGGTGAAATTAGCTGAAAATTCAACAATGGACTTGCTAATAAAGTAAGTCAGTAATAGCTTTAACATTCTTTCATACTCTGTTGAAACTAATATACTTTTTATGTGGTTAAAAAAGCACAGTGACTAAAAAGGCACAAATTACAATGCTGTGCACAAGAAAGTGTCTTTTCAACTTGTCAGTGCAGTTCCCATTTCTAACCCTGAGTTTTCTTTCGAAGTTTTCAGCACTTACTGAGTAATCAGATGCTGCTCCGGTGCCTGTGTCCAGAGACCCCTTTGCCTGCTGTCCTTCTGACTGTGAGATTGTTGTCTATTCTTGCTCAACACCACGAGCTGGTTGCTCAACTTTGTTCTCATTCAGGTAAAAGGCTGTGTAACACAGAAAACTTATCAGTTGAATGTTAATTAGCATGACTTGAAGTAGCACAAACAGGCCTCTGAGATGTTAAAACCCTAAGAGGCAGAAAGCCTGAAAACTTGTGTGCTAATGCAGTGTTTAAGCTATTTTGTCATGTGCTATCTGTCTAAATGCAGTGCTTTTGATAGCCATGTAGATTCTAAAAACTACTTTCCAGGTTGATGTTTATTGTATTAAAGGTTGGTGAGGGAAAAAGGGCTTTTTGAGGACATGAAGTCTAATTTATCTGCACTCATGTCAGTCATGTCATGTTGAGTTTAAGGATTCCTGTACTCTGCATGACAAATAGCCTTTGTCCAGTTCCTTATGAATGAAGTAGGGCAGTGTTACCACAAACACATAAAGTTTAGGCATGCTGGCTTCTTCAGCACTGCTTAATACGTGTGAAGTAAAGCAAGGAGTTGAGCCTGTATCCTGAATCCCAGGGCAGCCCTCTATGTATTTCCTGAAATGTTAATTTTTGTCATGAACTGGTTTCTCTCTGTTTCAGACACCTGCCTTCTTCTTGCACTGTACACGTATATTACATCAAGACCGGATAAATCAGCGTCTGAAATGCTTTGGCTTCAGCTGGAGCAAGAGGTAACCACACGTGTTTGTTCAATGCCTTTTCCTGCTATTTCCAGCTGGGGGAGTGGAAAGAGCAGAGCACAAATTGTCCAAATAACAGTTTTCTCCAGCTGAAATAGAACAGTGAAAGCACTGGCTTGCAGTAAGAGATTACATTGATTTTTAAGGGTTGCTGCTTATTCTTAAAGATAACATCAGTCTTAACAGTCCCACTTAAATCACTGAAGAAGCAAGAAAGATCCTAGCTTGGCTGTAAGTATTCAACACTAAGCTTTATTTTGCTTTCAGATCAATAAGGGAATCAAGATCTAAGATTCATTTTGATTGTATTAATTACTTCTGAACAGTATCTTCTGAGTTATTACATATAACAGGCAGTTTGTAGCAACTTAGGATCACATTCATTGTATCCAGTGGAAGTGCTAGCTGGCTGTACAGTGTCTATATACAGGAAGAATAACTTTTGAATTTAATTTGTATTGTTCGTCCTGACAGTGGGGATTTGCTTTGAGGTTCTACCGTTTGATCCAATTCTCCTCTCATTTGAAGGAATTTTGAACCATTTTCATAATACAGCAATGTAGGTAGGAGGATAAAGTGTAATCATTAATTATTAATTAATGCCCACTGTACCTCATCAGCTTTTCTCATCAAAGTTGAAAAGGTTTCTAGGCAAGGCAGATTCTCTGTCTGTAAAGTTTTATGGGGAAAAACTTTAACAATTTATTGGGGTAAAAGAGATCCACTGTTAAAAAAAAAACCCAGAACACAAGAATGTTTGAAACAAGTAATGAAAAATCATTTCTGCCTCCCTCGATTTGCAGCTTAACGGCCTGATAACTCTGCAGAGCCCTAGTACTCACAATGCGCTGTGTGTTTTTGTACTAGACAGTCAGACTCCTGACAAGGTGTATGCGGTGTTGCAGCCCCGCGGTTTTGTTACCTGGTACAGACTGCCAGTGTAATCTCGAGGTACGTCACTACAGCGGCGGAGTTTAATCTTCTGAGAGCTTAAAGGTACCCCTGACAATGCTGAAATAGCTTCTTGCCCTTTCATAAGCTGCAATGAAACAGAAGTGTACTGTACTTTACAGGATGCCACCTTCTGGGAAGGTTGCTTTTGCTTGCTAGAAAATACTTCAAAATTTGTAATTTTGAGGAGATTGATCAGTAAAGTTCATGCTGAAGTAAGTTTTCCACCACCTCCATTTTACTTTGTGTATTAAGACACTTCTTTCTCCTCTTGCAGGTGGTTAAGGCACTAATTATAATGTTACATAGGCAGTGGATGAAGATTAGAAGATCTGAGAACAGCTTGTGTGCCTATAAGGAGAAAATTATTCCGTTTCTACGGGATGCTGTTTTACTCTTACACAGTCTGTCTCAGAAAGATAAACTGTTCCATGAACACTGTTTGGAAGTTCTCCATCAATATGACCAAGCCATGCCAGGCATAAGAGCCGTTCTCAAAAAGACTCAAAAACTGAGTGCCTGTGAAGGTAAAATGAGCCAAATAATAACGCTGGCTTTTTTCCCCATGCTGTAGAAATAGAAATCCCACTTCCGTCCCTTTCCTCGTTTAACAAGTACCAGGTACCAAATATCGCAGGTATTTGTTGCTCAGACCTCTCAAGGCAATCCATAATGCAGTGTTTCACATTGTACCGAATCACCACTCTATTCTGCTTTAACAGTTTTATCTTGTTGTTCTCTCCGTAGAAATGTGCCCCAAGCATCTGATCAAGCAAAATCCTATACTCCATCTCTCTTTGGGAGAACAACGTGCACTATACATTACCTTATTTAAAAAAACCAAACAAATAAAGAAATCCTTATTCCAACTCTCCAACGAGTATTACACCTTTGCTCTGCAATAGCTTTTTTCCTCTTTGCATCCTTAACATCTCTCCTTCTTTCTTTCTCTCTCCTTCTTCTTCTCCCTTCTGTCTTCAGCCTTCCTCCACTACCCCAAAAACTTCCC